TTACACAAAGACTGTATATAATACAACTATCTGAAGCTCAGTTACAGATATCAATTATTACATTCATTTTAAATATTCATGATAAAGTAATCATTTATTTATATCAGAGAATCACTTTCTCTCTCAACAGTATCAAGATTATAAGTCTTTTTCTTTTTCATCTTTTCTTTCTGACACTGATTTTTCTGTTCTTAGGAGAAATTATTATGAATTTTGCTGTGCACAAAGTCATGATATTCACAGATATCAAGAAACTTTTTACAACTGTAAAGTTTAATATCACAGAGATATTCACTCTGATGAATTTTTTCAGAATGATAGATCTGTATCAGCCTATTCTCTGATATCTGTCATTCAACTTTGTAATGCAGATAAAAGATATTCATATTTTTAGAAACAGAAATATAAATGTTGTACTCTTTTACACCTGCAGACATGAGGCTTGTACACCTTGTCTGAGATGTTGTTATGAAAATGAGCTGTTCATATACTGTGTTCTGCTTCCTGTATTTCTCTGTGTCTCTCTCTCTCTTTCTGAGAAGCCTCATATGTGTTGTAATTATGCATACAATTCTAAGATCAGTAGATGTTCATTCAGTAATTATTATCTCTGTTTTTGCAGTTTTGTACACTAATAATAGTTCTTAGTTACTTCAGTGCCAGAGGTCATTTTAATTAAAGATAATAATACTGCTGAGACTACTCTCTTTCACTCTCAAGCTTCTCTCATCACTTCTTCTCTCTTCTCTGCAGAGAAGATTGTGTGTATATCAGATTATAAGCATTCAGTCTCAGATGACTTCTGTCATTTGTTCAGTTCTGTATCTTCTTCTTCTTCTATTTCTTTCATCTCTGTTTCCCCTGCTCTGACTTCTAGTCCTGCAGGTCTCATGCTCTTCTTCAATTTCTCTACACATACACATGCGCATTTCTATATTGACATTCCAGCCAATCTTGTGATCAATGACATTAATGTTGTACACAGAGTAATAGAGAAATCAGAGACATACACAGCATTGTTATAAGAGTAGCTTGTAACTCTCAAATCTCTTACAGATCTCGAGTTTTGAGATTTTCTTTGTTTTTGACATTTTTCAGATGATGTGATGTTGAAAATAGATTAAATGTATGATGTATAAAAATGAATAAAGTATGTATAATAACATTTGTCTTTTACAGCTGACTCTTACAGTTGATAATCAATTCATTATTTCTTTTCTTACACTTTTTCTCTATCTGCTAGTCACTACTCTTACACAATCTCTATATAATACAGTATTCAGTGACTAGATTCAGCAGCTTTCAACTTTTTATAATTCTGTCTCATACATTATACTGTCTCTCTTCACCTGCTCAGATCACTACAGTAAACAGCTCATTGAAACTAATCTCATCTGATCTCTGAGTATCTTCAGAGATTGAGATGACTTGGTCTCATGCATCTGTAGATGTTTCAGATAGTTCATTCTCTGTAATCTCTGCAATTGAACTGATATAAACAGTTAAATTTAACTCTGAATTTCTTTTTCTTCTGCAATCTGACTCATATACAAGTCTGTCACTTTAAGACTGCTCTTTGCTATGTTGCATTCACTGTCTGCAGTGTGTTATCATACAATCAGCTACAGTCTTATCACTTATTGAAGTGTGATATTTATCTGATTTCTTCATTTCTTCTCATTCTTTTCTTATAATTATGAAAAGATTGAAATAAGTGAGATTATCTGATTCATAAGTGTCTATGATTTCTCTTACTTTATGAGACTTTTCAATTATAAGTCTCTTCTTTTTCAACACTGATGATAGTGCTGTGAATAATCATAATTCACTCAGATCTTACATCTTTACTTTCATAAGTTATAAATTATTGATTAAGTTGCATAAGATCTGTCCCTCTGATTCTTTTAATACATACATTCTCAGAGAATGTGATTTAAGTATCTTATATAGCTCAAATTATCTAGATTGAAACTTCTCAGAACTCTCATTGCATACAAGAACTCATATTCTTATCTTGAGACTCAATTTCTTAATAAGTGAGTCTTGTATTCTTTTCAATTGAATTACTCAGTTCAGAAGTAACTTGTTAGCTTTTGCACATGCATGACTGATCTCTTTCAATCTTGATTTCACATCTGTGACTGTTGCATCTGTAACTGTTACTGTTGTATCTGTAACTGCTCTCTTTCTCACCTTTTTCAAAGCATTCTTCAGAATGCACAGATGCAATTCATACAACAGGTAGAATGATGAATGCTTAGAGACTGCATGCTGTTGAATTCACATAGTCAATAGCATCTGTCTGAGATATTCATCTCATAGTCTTATAGACTTACTCACTAGATATTTCATCAGCATATTGTTCAAGATTTCATTCAAGCATTTCATCTTCTCATTTATCTGTGAATGATATAACATTGTTCTACAATGTCTTGTCTGTAACTGGCTCACAAAATGCCTCATCACTTCTCTCACAAGGTTCATATCATTATCAGTTAGAATCTCGCACGGCATTTCATAGTTAATATAGATCTCATCATGTAGAAACTTCACTATCATCTTCTCTGTTATCTCTGAAACTGCTTTTACAACTGGCCAGTCAGTAGCATAATTAATAGCAGTGATTATTCATCAATTTTCATTTGACATTCACAGCAATATGTCTATGAGATTCACTTCTTATCATTTGAACAGTTATATCATACACTTTATCTGATGTTACACTTTCTCACATTCTAATTCTTTCTTAGATCCTTTCACAACCTGGCAATTCAGGCACTTGTGAGTATACACCTGGATGTCCTCAGCCATGCTTGGCCAGTATGCTCTTGATTTGAGTACACTCATGAGTTCAGGGCTTTCTAAGTGGCTGAATTCCTTGTGCATGCAAGTCATCAAGTCACATCTAAATGAAGGTTCTAGATAGAGAGCTTCTGTGTATTCTAGATCGCGGTAAAGCACAACATCATTTTCATTTCTCAATTTCCCCAGCTTGAAGTTCAGAAGCATCTCTTCTACTACTTTCACAAGACACTTGTCATCCGACATCTTGTCATTCTTCAAGTGAGAGATCATGATGTCCACTCATTCTGATTTCTTACATTTCCTCAGCATGTTTAACATGAACATTCCTTGTGCCTGGTTCGCAGGACTCTCACCCATGAAATCAGGTCTGCAACTGATTGCATTCAGCACCACTGTGTCTGATCTCTTTCAGTATTTGATATAAAGATTGTACACTTGGAACTCTGAGATTCAATGTGCTAAATGTTTGAAAGGTTCTATCATTGATTGTAGATAGATGAGGCTTTTATGATCCATGATCATCATTGTTATATGCCTGTTATCAATATATCTATCTCACAACATCAGCATGTGCTTGATCACTAGCAATTCCTTTTCATACACTGAGTAATTGAGCTCAGCGCCTGATAGTTTTCTATCATCATACATCATCAGATGCAGCTTGTCATTCTTACTCATCTGTAGAAGAGTGCCTCTGATAGCTCATTTGAATGCATCTGTCTTAATGTAGAAAGGTTTATTATGATCTGGTTGAATAAGCACTGAGAATATTATTACACATTTCCTCAGTGTGAGAAAAGCCTCTTCACATATGGCATTTCAGATAATTGAATGAAACTTCTTCTTTCACAGATTTACATTCATTTCTCTTAAGAGATCTGAGAGTGATGCAGATATTCATGCAAAATTCTTGATAAATCTGCAGTAATATGAGATCAACTCAAGAAACTGTTATACATGATGTACATTTCTCAGCTGCGGTCAATTTGCTATGACATTCAATTTCTCTGAAATGAGATATATACAGTCATCACTCACTACATATCTCATGAACTTCAACTCTTCCATTTCAAACACACACTTGGTTGATTTGATGTAGAGCTTATACTCTGCCAGAGTTGTAAGCACTTCATTGAGATGCTTCAGATATTCATTGTATAAGTTTGAAAAGACTAGAATATCATCAAGATATACAAGACATGAGGTTTCATTCTGTTTATGAAGAATTGTATTCATCATCATTTAAAAGATGATGAGTGCATTTGTCAGATCAAATAGTATTACTAGAAATTCAAACTTTTCTTATTACATATTAAACACAGTTTGCAGAACTGACAGTTCATCTACACAGATCTGCCAGTATTCTGAGAGAAGATTGATCTTCAATAGATATCAGGTGTTTCCAACTGTATTCAACTGTTATTGAATTCATGATAGTGAATATTCATTCTTGATTGTAAGCTTGTTGAGTGCTTGATAATCAATACATATTCATCACTCTTCACCTGCCTTTTTCACAAATAGAACTGGAAAGCCCCACGCACTTGATGAGAATCATATGAGATCACATTCTAGAAGGTCTGTGATCTGACACTTCTGTTCTTCAAGATGCATTTGTGACAGAGAGTACATATTCTGGTTGACTGGTTTTGCATCCTCTGTGTCAATCTCATGTACAAATCCTCATTCCAGCAGTAATTCTGGTGAAAGATCTGTTTGAAAGATCTTTTCATACTTCTTCAGAAGCTTCTTCATACACTTATTCTCCCACATATCTTTTATCTTGATTTCCTTCACTTCCAGGTTCTGTATGATATACAGAATGCTTTCAGATAAGGTCTTGTGAATCATTCTCTTTGCTTATTGATATATAAGCAGATTTAACCCTTCTATACCAGAGGTGTGGAATGTCCTTCTCATATCAGTTGGTAGAATTGTATGAATCATTTTCTTTCTATCAGTCAACTGCATATAACATGTATGCCATTGAATCTGCAGATTGAACCTTTGAAATCAATCAAGTCTGAGAATAAGATTGTATTCCACATTCTGCAGCTCTCACACTCAAATATAACAAGATCATTCTCTGAAGTGCAAGGGAACTCTTACTTTTGCAGGTGATATCAAATATCAGTTATCAGATAATCTTATGCATCAGAGATTCTTCACTCAGCAGATCTCTTTCAATCTTTAAATTATATGATTATCAATATATTGTGTTGAAGCTTCTGTGTCCATCTAGCCGACCGCTCCACCACGAACTCGCTCGATTTTTCGAATAAGAACCCGCCGATAGATCCATCGAAAAGCCCTCGATCATACGAGCATTCTGACCCCATCGCCGACCGCATACCCTGTGTGGTGGTGGAGTTATCCAGCCAAACGTGAACCGGACGTTGTTCAAAACTCCTGTGTGGGAGTATCCCCCGTTCTCCCCTACCACACCACAACCCCGGGCCAAAGTGCCATACAAATTGTAAGGTGAAGAGACCTAGCCATATGCACCAATCTTCTCGATTTTGGAAGATCCCCGATCTGTAGTTGTGGAGATATCTGAGGAGCGACCTCCGCGAAAACCCTGTCCATCTTTGATGTTCCAAAACACCAACGCCAAGTCCCACCGTTGTACCGCCCTTCCTAATCTGGCCCATCCCCGGCAGAAAAATACAAAAAGATACCTCGGCGATAATATCAAGCACATAACCAACGGCCACTTCTGAAGTGCAACCTCCGCGGTCTGTCTTCAGTGTATCTGAACATCAACGCCAAGTCTCGCCCTCGTACCACCCCTCTCAACCTGGCCCATCCCCGACAGAAAAGTACAAAAAGATACCTCAGCAACTGTACTCAATACATAATCGGCAGACACGACAACTATAAAATCAGTATATCCCAAGGTCTGACTGAGCCTTTGATCCCTGCACAGTGAGATATATTAAATCTAGTTTTAATACCTCAATATTCAATAGATTCTGCAAGGGATTGAGAACAGCAACACTAGGTTTCTATTGAATTTGAGAATTAACTCTATATTGATATAATCATTGACAAAGTCTTCTATTTTGAGATATAAATAACCAGTTCCTCTACATCCCGCTGGCAATATTTATATTATCATATAGAAACAGACTTATATTCTCTATAATATCAAGACTCTGAAGAGGAAAAGTCTTGATAGAGGGTATACAGTAGTGCATATCTTAGCAGTTTCTATCTCATTCTTCTGCAGCAGTTAATGCAAAAAAAAGATTTTAGAAATAGTTTTTTACTTCTCTTAAAAAAGTAAGGTGTTTTTCTCTGGGTTTTACACAATATTCTTACAAAGAATTAAAAACAGAGTTGTTTTCTGTCATAATTTCATATTCTTTTAAGTAAGAATTACTTTTTCAGTGGCTGAAGAGCTTTCATTAATACTTAATTCTTTTTTACACTCTTTATTAACTGATTTGAGTTGCACACCTGTTGTGTGAGAAGAATTGAATAATTTAGAATAAAATTGAATAGTTTTAATCAATTTCTCTTCAAAAAATTGATTTATTTTTTGTCAGTTTTTCTCTCAAAAACTGTCATATCATCTGATTTACTATCAATTGATATCATACTTTTCCTCACTGTATCCCAAGAAAGAGATTGTAAAGATTTTATTGATTTATCTTAAAAATCAATTTTAGTTTATTAGATTCTCTTCAAAAATCTAACCTAGTTACTGAACTAGTGTGGAAAAAATCAGGTGTTTTATACACAAAAGTCTGCGATTCTTCTTTTGAAATAGTCTGACCAACTTTTCAATTGAAAACAGACTTAGAAACCTCTTAATTGAAACAGTCTGACCAACTTTTCAATTCAAAAGAGTTTAATAAATATCTCAATTGAATTAGTCTGACCAACTTTTCATTGAGTAAGAACAATGAGTTCAAAAGTACACTCAGTTGATGTGGAAAAAGATGCTTTCTCAAATGCTATTCCTGAGATTGAAATTCTGAAGAGAAGAAAGAAAGAAGAGATAGAGAAACAACAAGTTCTTGAAATACAGGAACTTGAAAAAGCAAGTAAAATTCTTGGAAAGCAGTGTCTGAGTGAGATGAATGAAGAAGTTCTGTTAATTCTTCATGCTCAGGCTAGACAACTACAGGAAGTGATCAAGTTCAAACTTGGAATTTCAAACACAGTTCAAAAAACTTTGAAAATTTCTAATACAATCACTGACTCTTCAGTTTGCTCTTCTTTCTTTTCTACTTCTTCTTCTTCTCCTTCTTTGAATCAGAAGAAAACATATGCTCAAGCAGCTGAATCTGCTGTCTCTAAACCTGCTGTCTCTAAACCTACTGTCTCAAAACCTGCTCAAAATTCTGAGAAAACTGAGAAGAATACTGCTCATGCCTCTATTCATAGAAAAGTGGAAAAGAAAATGCAAAAAGAGAAAAACTTTCAAATCTCCAGAAATAGAAGACTTATTCTCAAAGTCTCAAATCAGGACATTCTGCAAAGAAACAAGCTAAACTC